TTTATTACAGGCTGCTTCTTTAACCAATGTTCGAACTTCCTCTGGTGTTGCGTCCCACAGTGGTTCGGATAGCTGATCTAGCTGGACGAAAGTCAAAATTTTTTTGTTTTTAAAATACTTAATGGTACTTGGAATACATTCCTAACAATACATTCATATAGAAATTGCATTTATTAAAGCATTAACATATGAAAACAAGCAAAAAAAAGTAAGTCAACGCCGCCTATTTGAGAACTCTATTTTAAAAGCTGAAATTTAACTTAAAAGATTGCTAATTGCACTCACAGATATTTGCATAATTGCAAGTTGACTTTATAAACAAAAAATTACACTTTTTCCGCTATAGATTCAGAGGTCATAACGCAATTTATGTCCACATTGGTATAAGCAAATTTATTCTGAAAAATCGTCATTTTGATTAATTAAAAAATAAAGGTCGCCGGAGGCCGTTATAAAACCACTTGCATATTGATATCTAGACCTTCGCAAATGCAGAGGGCAAGTTCGATAACCAAGTCTAACCAATTGACTTAGATATTTATATTTTAGTGACGGTATGTCAAATCTCAAAATTCAAAAGTAATTATTAACAGAAAGGTATCTGAATATAAATATAAGATCAGTGGCGGATCCTCGGGTTAGTGAGGGGGGAGGGAGATAGGGGTTGTGTGTTAAAACAGAAAAATCAGATGCAAATTATGGAAACTCTTCCTCAGGAACGCACTACGTTTACGCGCGCGTTCACGAATACGGGAGTAGACTTTACCGGACCGGAGGGATTCCTTGTCTAACTTTTTTTAGAAAATTTGTTTCAGTTTTCCAAATTGGCTACACAAAAACGACCATCCTCAGATCTGAATCCATAGTAAAAATAACTGCAGAAGTAGCGAGTTACTCCGCCTCAGAATGATATGAAAGCAATCGAAAACTAACAAGTTTAACGAACGAATTCTCGAAGCGTACTTGCGAGTTCTTTCAACGTTGACGTAAACTATTCGCAAACCTGCTGGTTTTCTACACTCTTAGTTTCCAAAAATTGTGTTGACTTGGCCAAGCTCAAAGGCAATACCCCACCCGAAGTTAGAAAGTAAGAATTTAAAGAAAAATTAGCATTCATTACATTTAAAAACTCACATACCTTCGGTTCCAAAAGGGTTCGGTTAATAACACTGTCAATAAGCTCCTCTCTGCTTTATCAAACTATACACAGTATAGTATATCGTTATACCGGCCATCCTTGAGAAAAAAGAAAACCAACTATATTAGTTCTCAACTAAATGGTTAGGATAGGTGAGGTTGATGTGGCAGTTGGTTCAAATTACCAACTCACTTAGACCTTATGAAGGTCCATTGTGGTACCACTGCAGAACACGGGAACCTCTGTGCCTAATCTTCAGAGAACCATTTCGAAGCTCTTATAAAGCGTAGGATTGGCTTTATTCCTACGCATGATAGTTCGGTAAGAGAGCTAAAGAAGGGCCTACCTAAAAAGCCTGCTCTCCTCCTGGCCAGAGCTGGGCAGCTACAGAGGAAGTGCTCTACTGTTTCTTCCTCTTCCTCATCCCTGCAACTTCTACAATATTCGTGGGAGAATATTCCTAGTCTCGAAGAGTGCCTGCCAAATAGCCAATGACCGGTAACACAAGCCATGACCCTTGAAATATCCTCTCTTGAGAGCCTTTTTCTTATCAATTTGTGGCCAAAGTAGCCTCGTTGGTCTCCAAGTGCCCTCCTCTAGCCATTACCTGTTTGCCTCTTGGATCATGCTATTTCGAAGTTCTAATTTGGAGGTTGCCATGGGTATCCCAATTGTGCCTCTGTTTTCACATAGGGGGAGATTGGTACCTTTTCTGGCTAGCTCGTCGGCCCTGAAATTTCCTTCAATATCTCTATGTCCCGGAACCCAAATGAGGCTGACCTTGAACACGGCGCTGATAACGTTTAGAGCTGCGAGACATTCCTGCGCAACCTTCGACTTCAGCATTAACTTGTTCAATGATTTAATGGCCGCCTGGCTGTCGAGAAAATATTAATCGTGGTCCTCGTTACGACATGCGTACTAAGGTACACAGCCACCTCCTTTATAGCTAAGACCTCTGCCGGATAAACACTGCAGTGGTCCTGAATTCGGACGGATAATTCTAGTACCAGTTCCTTGGAGAAAACTCCATAGCCAACCCTATTGTCTAGCTTGGATCCATCCGTATAAAAAATCAGTTCCCACCTTTTCCATGGTCTTGGTATTTGTCATTCTCTTCTTGACGGGATGCTCGTCTTGAAGAGCCTATCGAAGTTTGGTTTAGGGGCGGAGTAGTCCACTTCTTGTTTGTGACTACACAGAGTGTGAAGTATAGAGGCGTGACCGAACCGCCGATCCTTCCATAGCGCCATGCTTTTTAGTCTGAGCGCTGAATCGGCGACCGCGTATTTACCCACCAGGTTTATTGCGGGCAGATTGGTTACCACCTCTAGCGCTTTATTTGGGGTGGTCCTTAAGGCACCTGAAATGCGTAGAAATGCCGTTCTTTGGACCTTACTCAATAGTTTTATATAACTTGATTTTTGAGTTGCTGGCCACCATACGAGTAGTCCGTATAATAATATTGGCCTGACCACCGAGGTGTAAAGCCAATGTGTACTACGAGGTGTTAGCCCCAACCTGATTCCGACCGCCTGTTTGCAAGTGTGTAATGCAACGTTGGCCTTCTTTACTCTTTCCTCTATATTAGGTTTCCACGTGAGTTTCCTGTCTAATATATTCCTAGATACTTAACATTCTCCTTCAAAGACATCTCCACACCCATAAAGATTAGCGGGGAGATTGTAAAGAGAATTGCTTCGGTTTTTTCGGGGTTTATTCCGAGCCCCCTACTCTCTGTCCAGTTTCTAAGCGTGGCCATGTTAGAGCGCAAAATCTCCATTAGGGTATTTGCCTTTAACGGCAATTGCCAGGTCGTCAGCGTATGCAGTGACGTGGCAACCCCCCCTCTCGAGTGCCTTCATCAGAGAGTTTACTGCCAAATTCCTGGGAAGAGGGGAGAAAACCCCTCTCTGAGGAGTGTCTCTACAGACCAACTGCAAGCTCTTCTAAGGCACCCGTTATGGCGCTTGCCCTTAATGTTGTTGAAGGCGCCTTCTATATCAACAAAGGCAACCAGAGTATACTCTTTGTCAGATAAACTTTTTTCCACCAACCCGACGAGCGAGTGCAAGGCGGTTTCCGTAGATTTGCCTTTCGTATAGGCATTCTGCGCTGGGGAGAGCCTACTAGTTGGTACCACCTCCCGTACATAATCATCCACAATCCTCTCTAAAATTTTGAGCAGAAAAGACGTAAGACTGATGGGTCTGAAGTCCTTGGGGTTAATGTGAGAGGACCTACCTGCCTTGGATATGAAGGAGACTTTGGTCTCTCTCCAGCCTAGCGGAATATAGCCCATGTTAAGACAGCTTCTGATGATAGACACAATGAATAGGGATATAATATCCCGTGATTGCTGCAGTTCTACCGGGTGTATGCCGTCAAGTCCCGGTGACTTGTAAGGACCAAAAGTCTTAATAGCCCATTCGATTTTCGCCTTAGTGATAAGTCGATTTCCTAGATCAGATAGCCCTCCGTCATTTGTGGGGTCGTTAAGTTCCATCGGCTTACTACCAGGGAAGTGTGTGTCCAGGAGGAGACTTAAGGATTCCTCGCCCGTCGTAGTCCATTAGTTCCCTTGACCCTTGAGATAGCCAAGGTTGGATGCCGACTTTGCAAGAATTCTTCTTAATCTGGCCGCTTCCGTGGTTTCCTCAATTCCCTTGCAGTAACTCTGCCATGATTTACGTTTCGCAGTTCTAACTGCTTTTTTATATATTTTCAAATCAGCCTTATAGGCTTCCCAGTCCTCTATTGCTCTCGTGGCTTTAGCCTTATTGAACATTGTCCTAATAGATGCACGTAACGAGGATAAATCTTTTGACCAAGAAGGTGGTTTGTTCTTCATCCTGTTTCTAACAACCGGGCATGCGGCTGGCAAAGAACTATTCATGGCTTTATTGACCTG